GCAAAATCCTCATTACAGCCCTCGTCTGTTGAAGTTTCTCCAAAGCTATGTCCGACCGTAGCGCACCATCTGGAGTGGCCTGGCTGTCCCCAAAAGAATAACAAGATGGGGGTGAGGGGAGAGCTTGGTCCATCTTTTCCCACATCCGCGGGCAGCTCACGTATCAAAAACTTAACCGAGGTTTTAAATTTATTAGAAGTCATTTGCATGAACATGTTGGCCTTGGACTTATGAGCTGTATCCGTTTAGTATAAGAGGATTTAGTTTTGTCAAGATGTGTGACAATTTTGGGTAATGCTGATCTCATGTGTTGACATTTTAATTTTAGCTATTACGTTGGGACAAGTTAGCAGGTCCTAATATTGTAGTCCTGGAATTTTACTGTGCAAGTAATTTGACTGTTTTCTGCAGAATGATTTATTATAACATATCAAAAGATATTAATGATATGTCAAAAATTTATATTATTCTCATTATATAATTGGATTGCATGAGTTGGGATACTTAGGCAAATTAATTCAGAATTTATACTCTATTTCTCCTGACACAGGGAAATAAATGTTTTGGCGACATACATTAGGATGATAGTCCCTTCATTATTTAATTTGTCATTTAAATCTAATAAAACTAACCATAATGCACATATATGTGCAACATGGAAACATCTAAGTAATTTGTGAGATTTTTTAAAGTAGCTCTTGCCCTAACCGGTTTGGCTCAGTGGATAGAGCGTCAGCCTGCGGACTGAAGGGTCCCAGGTTCGATTCCAGTCGAAGGCATGTACCTTGGTTGTGGGCACATTCCCAGGAGGGGGTTGTGCAGGAGGCAGCTGATCAATGTTTCTCTCTCATCGATGTTTCTAACTCTCTATCCCTCTCCCTTTCTCTCTGTAAAAAATCAATAAAATATATATTTTTTTTAAAAAGTAGGTCCTAATGAAAGGGTTTTTTCCCTCCACCTCATAAAGCTGTAAATATCTCATACTACTTGGTGTTACAGTTGTGTCAGCTGCCCTCAGGAACAATAATGAAGCATGATTTCCACTATTGATAATGATGAACTGATTTATACAGAGAATCTATTAGCTTGATTCTCTCATCACAGCTTCTTTCTAGCTCTTAAGAAAAAGTAAAGTAGCAAAGAAACCCACCCCAAATAGATTCAAGCCAGAGAATTTCTGGATTCTAAAGGAAGACCAAATACGTTCTTTTTCCTTCTGAAATATGGGTTTGTCAGCATTGTTCCCAGCCATTTTTGTTTAATTACATTACCAGCAAACTCTCACAATCAGGAGTCTTTTAACTGTGACTTGCTTCCCCCGCATTGCCGCAGAATGAAACCCCTTTGTGACTGCCCTGACTCCAATCCAGTCTTCCCATAAATAGTTGATTAATCCCCAGCTGAAGCAATGACAGTGAAATGAAGTTGAGTAACATGAAGACAATAGAATGCAGTCGAACATTAATAATCTCCAGCATGACAGCTGTTGAACACAGACTTTCGCATGGACCCACTCAGCTCTGCTACTCCAGCTCTTAAGTAGTCCTGTGACAGGAAAGACTTACGTTATTTAGTCACCAAGAGGTCAAATATATTTTTTAAGTTTTTATGGAAATATGCCCTATGTATGCTATTATTTCTCATGTGCAGTTATCTCATCCCGTTCCCCCAAGGAGCCTCCTCTGTGTTCATCTTTGGAATATTTCACTACATACTATGCACTTATTCTGGACACTGATGACCAAAGTGCTAATGAGATGCATGATTTTGCAGGCAGGCCATGTATTCAGGGTTGGTGAGATTATAGTCTGTGCACCAAAAGAAGCAGAAGTGTAACTTGAAGAGAAAGGGAAACCTAGCAAGCAGGATGCACACAGCACAGCTGTATTAGAACATAAACTGGCAGATATCTGTGACAGGAACTTAATCCAAGCATAGAGAGTACTGCTGCAGTAAAGGGCCCTAGAAGGCATATAGTAAGACATTTCCCAAATGTATGCTGCAGGACAATTTGTTAGTACTGTAGAGATTCTGGAGAAAAGGATTCCATCGTCAAGTAAGTTTGGGAAACATATTTGCTGTCTCTTGCTTGGAGAGCCATGAGCAGAATTGGTACAGTAAAGTTTCTAAGACGTCCAGAAGTAAAGAAGCCCATTGACTCATGTTTCCTATACTTTCTTGAACACAGGACCTTTTTCCCCCCGCTAGGAAGGCCCATTAACAAAATTCTTTGGAACACACTTTTTCCAAACTTGATCTAGAGGACCTCCTATTTATTTTATGGAGGAGGAGACTGCGGTCAGAGACTAAACACGGTGCTCAAAGGCACTGAGCAAAGTAATGGATAAATTAAGACAAGAAGTCAATCTTCTGTGTCCTTTGATTTTAGAGGTTTTAAATTATGAGATCACTTAATACAAGCCCCTCAGTTTATAGTGGGGCCACTGAGATCCACCAGTGACTTCCCAAAGTCAGACAAGTCACTAGTAACAGTGCCAGGAATAGAATTAGAAATTTTGTGCTTAAAGGACAGTGTCGTTTATTTTATAACCCTACTGTCTAGCACAGTGCCTAGAAAATAATAGGTAATAAATGACCCAGACTGAATGGCTGGAAAATAAATTAGATAAATGATAGATAGATGCTGATCAGAGTGAGTACATTCCTAGTGAAATAACCCATATGAATGATTTTTATTCCCTCACCTTGTAAAGAACACACACCAGTTCCAGATTAAGAATGCAAAATGGATTTTTTTTTCTTATCAAAAATACATTCATAGCCATTTGAGCCAGAAGAACATGCATGTCAGACTAATTTCTTCAGTGTTTCTATACTGAAGGCATGACTCTGGCAGCTGAATTGGCAGTTGCTGTATGGCTGGGGGTTGGCCAGAAATCAAAACTGGCAGATGGAGATGGGAGAGAGGGGAAGGTAGAGAGAGCTTACACCTGTAGGAGTAGAAAGACAGGAGAAATATTATTTGAGAGGTAAAAGATAAATAGCTGGAAATTATTGCATAAAAGGTATAAAATAAGTTCAATGGTAAACATTCCTTTATTATCCAAAAACCATATTTAATTTTTAAAATGGAAACTCTCCAAATAAACACACAATTAAAATAAAGAGAAGAAAACACTTGGCAAAAAAAAAAATGTTCACTCTGAAATTTGCAGGGGGTGGCAATTGGGGGACTCAGTCCCTGAAAGACTTAGAGGTAAACCAGCAAAAGACAAAGGAATGACGAAGTTGAGTTGCACTTGTATATCATTAAAGACCAGAAGAGCAAGGTGTTAAAAGTTCTTGTAATTTTACTAGAGGCCCGGTGCACGAAATCGTGCATGGGTGGGGTCCAGCCAGCCCACCCCAATGGGGGCCGATTGGGGCCAGGCCGCCGGTGGGGGAAGGGGACACAGGAGGTTGGCCGCCCATGTCCCAGTCGGGCTGATTGTCTGGCCGCAGTGGTCATCATAGCGACCGGTCGTTCCAGTCATTGTGGTGGTCCAGTCGCTGGCTTTTTATGTATATAGATAATGTGCTGTGTAGTTCCTAAGGGGGAGAAAGGAAAGGAGAGGAAAGTCTCATACCTCTGTTCCCTGCCCCTCAAAGGTGCAGAGAAAAGAAATCTATGAAGGTCAAAAGCTAAGAAGGGTTAGAG